AGACTGTTTTGTTTATATTAACTTCTTCTAGTTATACATATTTCTGAGGAACCCGCTCGTAGAAATAACAAAAAACGATATTTCTCAAACTGACAATTGGTATTGTTAATTTCAAATGATATTTTCTTCAAATAGAGCAAATACGTGCAACATTTTTTTTGTTATTATGTGATTACATGCTACAAGATCATTCGGAAATGATAATTGGGAACATGATTTGCTCTAATTACAACTAAAATCATAATTGAACTTTGAATTATTAAAAAAAAATTGTTCCTCTCAGTGATTTTGGTAATACTTTCAAAATTGCTTGCATATCAAACAAATTATTATCATGAGTCAATAGACTAACCTGTGTATAAACACTCCATATCAAAATCAAATTTTCAATAATGAACACACCAGAGTTCTAACAACACAAATTTACGATGCAATGGTTTGACAACTTACACAGCTGCAAAAATAGCTAACGTCAAATCAAGTTGAACAGAACGCCTCCTAGATCTGGGCTCCATTACGTATTGTCTCGCATGCAGACACTATTCAACTTTACACTCTTGTGTTATTTGACTCCGATTGCTTGTTTTCCTTTTTGGAGTTCCTGCCAACAATTGGTATATTTGGTCCCGGTGTGCGGCGGTGTGAAGCGAATAACAGTCTCTCCATAGGTAAGACCGTTGGGTGCCTTATGCCTGTTTCTTACATAACTCAATGGATCTAGAGGGTGAATTCTCGAAAAAATAATCCTCATAGAAACAGACGTCTGGTGTGCAGGACTGGCGCTCTGGGATTTCACCAGCTGAGTTTTTATCCTTTCTTCAATTTGACTGGAAAAACTTCATTTCATCTATCATCTATCATTTTTTTTTCGACTAGTCACCTTGTCCCCGTATCCCAAGGTGTAGCACAATCTTGTCGAAGGAATGCATTGCTCAGGGGTGACTAAGCGATATAGGACGAAACGGTAGAGCTAACGGGAGTTATATAGCTGCACGTGGGAACAACATGGTAAGTAAAATCAAATAGATTCATATATTATGGAAGAGGACTGATTGAGTATCGAGGTAACAGAAGGGAAAAATAGACCTGCAGTGTAGCAGGCGCTTCCTTGTGAAAATGTGACATATACTTCGACTTAACTGAAGTTTTTCAGGATGAGGTCATCTAGATGACTTTGATATATTGTTTTACAATTGCCCCCGAAACTGAAGGCAGACAATTGAAATAGAGGAGATGGGGTACTCCACCAATGAAACAATTTATGGAAAATTAAGGATTCTCATGTGAATTAAAGGGGAAATTTCGATAGGAGTTTTGTTTTTTCTTCACCACGCGAGAGAGGATTATGGATCCAGAACCAGGCATAAAATTGTACAGGGTAGCCTTTTGAATTAGAAACGTTGTGAATCAGCTAGGAAAGAGCCCAGTTGCAGTAATCTGAAGGATACGAAATTTCTCAGGAAGAGACAACAAACTATAAAGTGGACAAGTGTACAAACCTGAAGGGATGACAATGGACAGACAGGGCTCAACATCAAATCTGCGGAGGAAAAGAAGAGGAAAGAGCTTGATTATAAAAGCAAGAGATGAAAGGATATGCGGAAGTATTGAAAAAATGAAGGGACGAATTAAGTAAAGTAAGATTTTTATCCCTTTCCGGAAAAAAGGATTGACAGTTGAAATGTGAGTTATTTAATCATCGAATTATCTGATCTCGGGACCATGCTATGGGACATGCACTCTTATGATTTATGGGATGTTTTTTTTTCGGTTGTACCTTCGGAAATTAAATCAAATTTCACAATAAAACGGTAAGTTCTTCTTCCTCATCTATTGCACAATGAAACACACTCGGTCAGTGTGCAAATAATCAAAACATTTTAAATCATAACGTTTCGGTTTGTGTGCGGCCAGCCTTAGAATGAATTGTGTCAAAGGAGTGAAAATTTAACGAAAAATTGATTTATTTCCCTAAAACTCTCAATAACTGTTATCTTCAAAATTGAAGAAAACAAAAAATAATCGTAAATAATTTCGAAACATCCTTTCATTTATTATGTTATGTTTTATTTTCGCTATGATTTATGTACAAAGTGGAAAAAAGTGATTTCTTGTAACTGAAAATCCGTCGATAGTAGTAGTTGTTCCGGATATACTCTCATATCCGGTTAGTGGACGTGGATGAACTACAGTTTTTTTGAAGTTTCAACAGGCATTTAATTTTCTTTTATTAGATATTCGATTTTTGTGTATAGTTTCAGAAAAGTCTAACATCAAAAGTAGGTTTGAATTAAAAATTAATTTGTTCTGAAGACAGTTTAGTTTATCCTCTAACTTAAAAATGTCACTATCAGTGAAACGATATGAGCCACGATACTGTTGTTGATCGTATTTTGATGTATTGCACACTCACACTAGGGAAGTCTTCTAAGGATTGCTCTCAGGAGTGACAGTGTAAAACTTTTATTAATTTCATTATGTCCAATGCAGTAGGTTTTATGAACTAGATAGCACAATATCCGCTTCCCTACATTACATTATCAGTTGACCCAGTTGAAATAATTTTGTGACAGCTTATACTATACAGTGTCANTGAATGAATTCCGCCAGCCGATTGCAGTTAAATCTGTAAATGTGAGTGATGATCAGGCTTTGATCACTCATCTATCATTGTTTGGGTTACTTTGTTTGTTGGATGGCATCAAATAATAATTTGGGTCTGGTATCTAACGAAATTTCTAATTTAGAGAGTTTCAGTTTACGAGTATAAATCTTGTAGCAATTAGGTACTGAAGAAATCATACCTTTCAGAAGGAGAACCATTCATGGCAATTTTACTTAAACAAAAATTTTCATAGAAAATCCATTTTTTTTATAGTAACATCATTCAATTTCATCCAATAATTCCCGTTTTGGAGCATTTTGTCATTATGTACCAAATGTATTAAAATTAGCTATTGCATTTTCACATGGAATTCAGTTTTCGAGTTTTCTCAAACTAACAGCAGAATGTAAGTTATTTGATTCATAGATGAATCTTTAACTAGAAATATAGTTGTTGAAAGTTTGAGTCAAATCACGTGAATAATATTTTTATACAATTAAGTGTCAACAAATGTTTTACTCAATTCTTTGAATTGACATAAATTTTTTATTTATGACCCGCTTGAATGAATCTTATTAAGTAGGTACCTACAATATAATAGTGAAAACCGCTACCAAATCGGTTAAGTCGTTTTCGAAACTAGAACACATAGAAAACAGATAAAAATTCTCAATATCATTGTTTTCGATTTTATTTCATACAAATTCAACGCACGAAATAAAATATCAAAAGAAATAATCGGCACTGTTGCCGATCTGTAATACTTATCTATTGATATTTTGATAATTTCATCCATAAATATAAAATTTGTATACGTCTGACAATGTTGTATCCGAAAGAGGACTGATTATGAGCATGCGCATTGTATAAAACATTTGCAATTCGGAAATTTGAAATTAGTATATACATTATAATACCTATGGTTCTGATTGACAAAAATATATATTTACATGGAAAAGATACATTTGTTCTGAAAAAGGTATTGAGTTTCAAAGTTCCAATATTGCAGACCGCGTAGAATATTGTCCAAATGTCTATGCGTACTATTGCGTACTAGTAAATAATTAGGCACGGCGAAGTTTCCTTCCACGTCTACGTGGTTCTAGACAGATTTTATATGTAATCAATAACAACAAAAGTGAAGTTATCGTATTTCACGTATGATTGTGAAGTGTCTAGTGAAGATTTTTTATGTGTTTTTTGTGAACCCTAGGCTTATCTGGAAACCAAAACAGACCTCTTGATTCATACAAATAAATAAAAAATAATAAATGCTAGTTGGTGGCAACAAAACCTTGAAATATCAAATATAAACATTGTCACTAAATGAGTCTTTATAAACTTGAAATAGGTTCGAAATCTCTTTGATATCTCGCACAAAATATTCCACTGCGGTATCCTTTCAGGCGTGAAAAACATTTTTCCAAGGTGTTTCTTATTTGAATGGAAGTGAGGTTAGTTTCTACTGTGATATATTGATTTAGTGCTCAATATGTAATTTTTTGAATGGGTTAAAATTTGTTTTTTCCAGTATTCAGTGATCGCCCCCTTAAGAACGGCAACTCTTTGATGTCTTCCATAAATTTGTATAAGGGATTAACGAGGTCTTACCTTTTAGCATGCGATTCCTAGCGTGTGTCAGACAATACGTAGTGAACTTACGTGACTCATTTGCTTAGAGTGTATCTTACAAGTCACCCATCCAGTCCCAGAGAAGGGATCGAACCTCAATTCACTATAGCGGTTGTGTCATGAGTGTATTACCTCATTAACTACATCAAATCATTGAAAGAAATATACATTTCACAAAGTTCTAAGATACACATTATATGCATGGGAACATTAGAAAATATTTTCATGCTTATTTTTATAGTTTCTGGGGTAAAAGTTCCATATACGTTGGCAATGGGATTGGCAAACAAACCCTTAATTCAATACCTTGGGCTTTGTGTGACATACATCCCTCTCAACTGTACTTCACATTAAAATCTAGAATTTCTGTCAGAAAATAACTACTTCTCGAGTTGATACCACGGCGGTTATTGAATTGAATCCAAGACGACGGTGCCTTATAAATAACATGCCGATCATATTATAACATCATTCTAGCCAGTCTCTGCCTGTTTGAAATCATTGAATCCTAGCTACTGCATTAACTTTGTCTGTCATATTGTCATAAAATGCAGAAAAGTCTTGAAGTACCCATTACATAAAATATTGAAAACGAAATATTTGAATAATGAATAATACAAGAATTGATAATGAACTGAGATAATTTGAATGTAACAGACTCCTCAGGTTGGCATCTAGCTGGGTGAATGGTCAAGGATACTTTCACTGCTAATTACTATTTAGACTCATTAAAAGAATTTCTCAATGATGCTGCCTTTGACACTATCTTGATTTATGTAATTTTAGAGAACAATTTAGAAGATTGGTATCATGTATCAGTCCCAACAATTTTGAGCAATATTCCTCAATTTCTACAAAATTAAGTATGACCAGTGATGTGATCTTCGAACCGATTTTTACTACCTCATTTATTTTACCCAACATACTATATATCCCAATTTTGATACTCAAACTTTTATGAATCAGACTTTTACTTTTTATTGATTTATTCATTCATTGGTTACATATTTTATGAGTAAGAAGGAGGTCAAGTATTGACATCTTGCAGAAACCATACCGATATACTATGACCGTAATTTTTAATATTTTGTTCACAAGTTTTGTTCTGAAAGTACTATCTTATTGATGTATATTTTGCAGAATGAAAACAAGTTCCGAAGATGGAAATGGATAGAAGCAGTTGTCGAGTGAATTATGGTTATCCAATACTACAGTTTGAAACTATTTTCTTAACTGAATTGAAATTTCAAAAAGAATTTGAAAGGTTTCACATTATGTTATCGGTGAGTATTTTGTAACTGATTGAAACATTTTATTAGATTTATTAAACCTGAAACTTCAAAATCCTTGCCCTGACGAGTGGCCAAACAGCCCGAAACCAGTCTGCAAATGTGTTCCAATAATTGAAAATCTATTGCGGCAGTTCTATCGCCAACAGCAAATGCAGGAATAACTTCAGTGAAAAATCCTGCCTGACAACTGTTGGATGCAATCGAACGCCCTTCGTGGTATTAGCCAGGGGAGTAGTTGTTTTCTGATAGATGTCAGTCCATTAACCTACAGTGTAGCGAGTTGAGACTTGCCTGAACGAATTCTTTTAGATGACTTGATTCACCATAAATATTTATAGAAGTCTTCAACCTTTCACTACAAATGAGGGGTTCCCCCACCAATCGGATTACCAGTGATATCAGTCGAATTATATCTAGCTTTTTAAAATATTTTAATATGAATTGGGTATTGAGTGCTATTGAGTGGTCTTGGAAAATAGAAACTTTGCATTATTTGCGCTCTTGTCTAATAAAATTACATCTTTATTTTTTGAAAAAAAGTTTTATATTTGTGTAGAATTGAAAAAAAAATCAATATTGGATACATTTCATAATATCAATAATTCCCAGCTATGCTACATAGTATATTTTTGCAAATACTCAATAACAACTACTTGCCTGACTAATACCATGATGAATATTGAATTACAATTGATTAATATTTTTGCAACGTTCCTCACAGAGGATTGATGCTTCTATATGCTACCATTTCAGCATTTGTTTTGGTATTATTCAAAGAAGTAGTTTTCCGATGGAATTTCACCAAATCCCACAAAAAAATATCCGGTGTGGGCTTGTGCTTGTGCGTGTGTGAATTCACTGTATTTCACAATTCTTGATGGCCAGTAAATATATTAAACATGTTACTGACGACATTATCAACTCCAGAAACTTCAGTTTCTTCGCCCAACATGTTAACACTTCAACTCGCTGAGTCACTGTGAATTGGAGCAGGGTACAGTTATAAAGATGTCAAATTAATGGAATTTTTATTTTGTTCGCGAGTATAAAGAATGAATGGAGTCATTCTAACAAGAGGTAGTCCAAAACTTCGCTTTAGAAATGAATGTGATTGTTTCTGAAAAATCCAGGGATAGTTAGATTGGTGCGTTTATTCATTCATAATAAAATAATGATATATATATA